CACACGTTTTCTACTCATGCAATTCTGGCTAAACTTGATTTTACATTTTTTTAAATTGAATAATTGTCTTCAATTGTCAATAGACAAATATTTCTGTCATGTCAACAAAAGAAAATAAATGCAAATTATTTATTACACATTCGACCTAAATGAAAATGTCACATTTATAAAAGATGATTGCAACTCATATTTTGAAAATTGAATGCTATAAAGTTTGAACCATGTGACTACAGTCCACTACAATCTCCGCTCATGTGTTTTTTTTAAGGCTTATCATGGTTTTCAGATGTTAATAATTGAAATAAAACTTGAAATGTTTGACATGTTACTCATTGGTCTAAGCATTTGGTTTGTAGTTTAATACGGCCAGGGTTCGAGTCCTATACTATCTAATTCAGCCTGGGTGAATGGGTGATATAACCAGTTAAAACAAAAACACACACATAAAGAGGGTAGTTCATAGCCTGGTTCAGGTTAAGTTTAAGTTCAATGTACAACAACATTCAAACACGTACTCTGATCTATGGTGTTTCCAAATGGACTGATTGTTCTTCAATGAAAGAAATATTCCCATCTTGAGTCGTAAGAAAAAAGCACAAACAGCGAAGAAAATTTTCTTTTCGAAGATTTATTTTCATGAGCTGTACAATCGTAATTATAATTAACAAAGAAATCTTTACACCAATCAGATACTGGTAAATTTTGTCCTTAGAGAATTGTATGACATAATGTAAGGTGTAAGAAGGGATGACTAATTTTAAGTTAGAAAGGAGACAGAAGTTGGCATGGCGTAATAAGTGTGAGATAATCACTAATCAATCAGCTCGTGTAAAATGGACAGGAACTAGTGGAAGGGCTATAAAGTGTTTTTGTATAAAATATGTATGAAGAAGCAATGTTATTAATAAACAGTAATAGAGTGGTAATAAAATGTGGATGATGGGAATAATAATGATAATAAAAGTATTAATAAAATAAAATAATAATGGTGATAATAGTGAACTTAATAATAATAATAATATAGTGAACTTACATAATAAAGGAAAGAAGCAAAATTGTGATAAGAACTTTACTCTGGCCATGGTAGGGCAAGAGAATGTATGTATCGCTTTTGGATGCAGAGGTCCGGTTTCAGATCTCGAATAGCTAATGCTTCACCAAGATTTATTGACAAACACATGACGGAGCAGCCTCCGGTGTCAAACATCGCAGCGGTTCCTAAGAAGACTCTCTTCATGAACCTAGAATTCGAAGGTGATGTCACAGATGAAATTCTCAGAAACCGCCTTTCTAAATGCCACCCTACGTATCACATTCTCCAAAAGACAGTTAATCCAGGCTAAGGTTAAGGAATGAGATACCACTTTTGGTCCTTTTAATATGTGTTTATCAATTTACTTGCTAGTGTGGTGCAGAGTATATGGGTCGTACACAACGTCAAGTCCACAAACGTATTCTGAAACACCGCTCAGTTTGGTTATCCAGAGGAGAAAAGAAGAATAGCAAAAGCTCCATTCTCCAACACCTTGTCATCTCCGGACATCGAGCACCCTCACATGAATGCTTCACAGTGTTACACAGTCCCTCAATATCGTACAAAGGGACTTCGGATACGCCATCTGTGCATACCTGAAGCATTAGCTATTCGAGATCTGAAACCGGACCTCTGCATCCAAAAGCGATACATACATTCTCTTGCCCTACCATGGCCAGAGTAAAGTTCTTATCACAATTTTGCTTCTTTCCTTTATTATGTAAGTTCACTATTATTTATTATTATTATTGTATCCTTTAATTCCTACAGGAACATAGGGCTTCAGCCGTGCGTCTCCATTGCGTTCTGTTCCATGCTAGAGTCTTCACCTGGCTCCATATCTGCTCACACGTTTTCATCTCCTCTTCACATCACCTCCTCCAAGCCACCCACCCTCGCACTGACGACCAACTCGTCGCTTCCCTTTCGGGTTCCACTCGAGCGATGGCTTGTCTAGTGATGTCACTTGATGGTTTGTTTTCTCAGAGTATGGCCAGCCAATCCATCTCCATTTCTTCCTGCCTATTTCTTTCACAATCGGTTCCTGCTGTGTTGGTTCGCTCCCAAAGATCTCTGTTGCTGATCTTTTCTGGCTGGCCATTTGATCTTGAGTATTGAGCGAAGACAACTGTTAATGAAGGTTTGTAGTTTTTTTGAGATGCTCTTTATGACGCGCTGGCCAAGTCTCTGATCCATCCGTATAGTAGCACTGACTTCACAATGGAGTTGAAAATCCGGATCTTATTTTTGATGCTGAGTGTTGTTTACCTCCACACAGACTTGAGAGAAATGAAAGCTTTCCTTGCTTTCCCGTTCCTCACTTTGATGTTATCCTCATCAGTTCCATCTGCCTGTAGTTGAAACGATGCTTCTTAGGTCGGTAGGTAAAAGAGGTTGTTTCTTTCAGGTTCCTCCCATTTATGCTGATTGTTGTCAGTTGTTGTTGTTGCTGTTGGTGGTGTTGCCCAGGAATTTTCATCACCTATGTTTTCTCTGTGTTCACCTGAAGTCCTATCTTTGATGCTTCTTCTGCTAACTTGTTGCTTTTCGCTTGCAAGTCTTCCAGTTTGTGGGAAATCAGACATATATCATCGGCGAAGTCCAGATCCTCCAGGTTTTTTGTGTGTGTCCATTTTATGCCTGTTTCCTCATTGCCCGCTGTTTGTCGCATTATCCAGTCTACTGCAATCAAGAAAATCATTGGCGATAGTAAGCAGCCTTGTCTTACTCCTGTCCTCCCTTCGAAGCATTCCGTAAGTTTCCCATTGTGGATTACTTGGCATGCAGCATTGTCTTACAGCTGTTGGATGAGATGTGTAATTGTCGGTGGCACCCCGTAGTAGCGAAGTAGTTGCCAAAGCACCTCTAGGTCGACGCTGTCAAAGGCCTTTTCAAAGTCGATGAAGTTGAGATAGAGAGGTGACTGCCACTCCAAGCTTTGTTCAATGATGATCCGTAGTGTGGCGATCTGATCAATGCATGATTGTTTCTCCTGAATCCAGCCTGTTCCGGTCGAAGTTTTTCATCCAGGGCATGTTTGATTCTCTCCAGGATGATGCGGCTCAGTATTTTGCTTGGGATGGATAGGAGCATAATTCCGCGCCAGTTCTTGCATTGACTTAAGTCTCCTTTCTTTGGTAGTTTGAATAAGTATCCTTTCTTGCAATTCTCAGGTACCTTGACTTCTTTCCACACCTTCTCCAGTAGTGGCGTCATCAAGTCCGCTGTTGTCTCTGGGTCCGTTTCTAATGCTTCTGCTGGGATTCCATCTGGTCCTGCTGCTTTTCCAGCTTTTAGCATCTTGATTTTTCATTTTTATTTTTTTATTATTTATTTATTTATTATTATTTATTTTATTATTTATTTTATTTTTATTAATGCTTTTATTATCATTATTATTCCCATCATCCACATTTTATTACCACTCTATTACTGTTTATTAATAACATTGCTTCTTCATACATATTTTATACAAAAACACTTTATAGCCCTTCCACTAGTTCCTGTCCATTTTACACGAGCTGATTGATTAGTGATTATCTCACACTTATTACGCCATGCCAACTTCTGTCTCCTTTCTAACTTAAAATTAGTCATCCCTTCTTACACCTTACATTATGTCATACAATTCTCTAAGGACAAAATTTACCAGTATCTGATTGGTGTAAAGATTTCTTTGTTAATTATAATTACGATTGTACAGCTCATGAAAATAAATCTTCGAAAAGAAAATTTTCTTCGCTGTTTATGCCTTTTTCTTATGACTGATTATTTTCACTTTTGAAGATGAGCCAACGATGTCCTCTAATATGTACTTGCCTTCCAAGAAAGGAATTACTTTATTAACCACACTAATGAACACTTTAAAAAAACTACACATTATGTGATACTCGGTGTTTGACAGGATCAAATATCACCCACATTAACAGAAAATCGTAAAATTTCTTGAAATTGTCAGGGTATGAGAAGATCTATTTCATATATACCGTAATGCTTATCTGGTTTCCGATCTTAGAGAAATGAGAGTAATACCTTAGTATGAAAGTTTGGCTTGACTTTTGTTAGTGAAGCATCCATTTACCTGTTATTATCATCATTATTAGTTGTCTGATAACATTTAGTCTGATTCGTCATAGACTTAGTACAGCGGCATAGGTGATTTGTACTGGTATTATTTCTACTCTGTTTGTTACAAGACTTTTGCAATGAATGAAAAGAGATAACGAGCGATCATTTGTTAAAATTCTGATTGTAGAAAGTGGACAATTTTGTCCGTCGAGTATGCATTCCTTGATCAGTGATTATTGTAGCTTACATAACAAATAGTATGCGGTTATCCCAACCAACCGATCGACATGTTTTTCTTACAAAACAGCCTTGAAAGAATAAAACAGACTTAAGATATATCCCACGGACAATTTACTTCGAAGCACACCGTTAGGTGAGGTAATATTAGGTTGAAAAAGGACTAAGTGGATAGACCAAGGTATAAAACCAGTGAATAGTGAGATAAACTTCTCACTTCGCTTATATCACCTGTGGTGAACAAAGCTGATGACTGAAGACCTTCAAAAAGTGATAGGTGGTTAAATGCACTCAGAATATATATGTGTTTTAATTCTGGTATCCTATTTCTTTATTGTTTCGTCATTTAAAGAGTTCGATTAGATTAGTTGTCCCCACTGTCTTTATTTTTAACAATTTCCGCAAGACTTGCAAGTACGAATTACGTGTAGGTTTAATGACTGGTGTTCAATTTTAAATGTGACCTCATCAACAGCTAACGTTAACTGGCATACAGAGAGAAGAAAATCCAAATATATAGTCACTTATAAATATTTCAAACTAAATATATTTGTGAGAGATATATTCATTCCTTTTTAAAAATAACTAAAAAAGAAATACAAAAAGATCTTAGAAAAAAAAATGAAGTTTCTGGATATAAATCCAACATTGCACATTTCATTCATTCAGATGGTAATCTGGCAATAATCTTGGCAAACCACGACTGTAATAGAGTGGCACGTTTGTTCGACATTGCTAAGACCTCTTCATGATTCGCAACCATTTTACTTTCAACGTCCAAAACACTAATATTTGTCACTAATGAGATTGCAAGTACTTTTATTCCACAGTGACGAGCGAATATGACTTCAGGGACGGTACTCATACCTGAAATAGAAATAAGAAACATTTAGTGGATCACATCACTACGCATTTCAATCGTATACCACTGGTCTGTTCAATCACTTATCAAACCCCATTCATTTCAGTTTAGGTCAATATATTCTCCAACCATGTGGCTTCTTCACACCCAACTTTTTCGATTGTTTTAGACACCAAAGCCCTATTTATTCCACCCATTTGTTCAACTAATGACTCATGTTTCCGTTTTGTTCTTATCTCCGTCAGACAGTAGTGCAGATTCAGTGATCGATAGCACCATTCCTCAGCAGCACTTTCTATCGACACAGACTACATAAATGTGTTGTATGCAAGGACTTCAAACTTACCCAGTCAGATACTTCCAATTCTCTTTTTCTATCTCCACTATGCTAGTCACTAAAACTTATCTTCATATTTTTAGCAGAACTGTGTTTTCCACTTACCATCCAAATGACACTTTCTCGTATACATCTGGTCTACATGGTCACACTTCGACTCCCTTGTACCTGTTTTCCTGAACTTAAATTCCACCTAGTTTAGTATATTTTGTTTTTCCTCAGTCCAGCTTATTCTTTATGACATTATCCTATTTTAAACAATCAGTAAACACGAAATGTTGTTAGGTTCTAAAATAAATTCTCTGAGAATTTCGGTATTACTGTTGACTAACACATGTTCAGTGCCGTATTGGAACTGAGTTTTGTGACAAAAGCTTTAGATGGTGACTAACAAACATTGTCCAACTTATGCAGTCGAATCGCACAGAAAATAATTCACTTACCAACAACATCACAACCCATCATGAGCATCATTTTGCACTCAGCAGGTGTTTCATAACATGGACCGCCATTCATTCCGTAGACACCTTCATGAACAAGTTCTTCAAAATTTTCTTCTTTCGCTATTTGTAAGGCCAACTTTCTCAGGTCAGAGTTGTAGGCATCCGAAAGAGCTGGAAATCGAGGGCCAAATCTAAAGAGATGAAAATCACTAGAAACAAAAGTGACCTACTTGTCTTCATTTTCACCAACTAAAACACCATTTAATCCAAGACCAGCAAAGTAAAGATGGTCTTTCAGAACAACGAAATCTCCACCTTTAAGACTTCTGTTCAAACCACCAACAGCATTGCTCACCAACAGAGTTTTCACTCCCAACAGCTTCATGACGCGTATAGGAATGGCTATCTACGATAAATATCTAGAGATTTGTATTAGAATGATTACTTCATGTTTCGTCCATCCTTCATACATATGGAATCGTCCCTGCATCACAACCACTTTCCGGCCACTCAGAGTTCCGAAAACTAAGTTTCCGGAGTGTCCTTGCACTAAAGCACTTGTAAAACATTTCAAAATACTTACCAGTCGATTTCGGGAATCCAGGTATATCTGCATATGGGATAACTGTTGGATTTTGAACCCCATTAGCTAGCTCTCCAAGACCACTTCCAGAAATGATACCGATTTCCGGCTCAATATTAATCATCTTTTTGATGTGATCTGCCACCTTGGAAACATTTTCATAGCTTGCAGTGATTTGAGAAGACCTGTAGATTCACGGACATTATCAGAAGTAATAAAATTTACATTTTCTTGTATTGTACAATACGTCTGTCTGTCTGGAAGTGGAAAATAAAAAGCATCACATTAGACTCTGATAGTAATAATATATTCTAATTTTCTGTACACTAAGGACGCCAGTTTACAGGAATCATCAATATGATAAGTCAGACTGACTGTCAAAACACACTATAAATTAAACAGGAGAAGTACACTCACAGTCGTCTAGCTTCATAGTTGAAAGTTACGTGAGTGTTAAGAATTAGTCAAAAGCAACTACTCTTACACCTGTTAATACATATTAATTAATTAACAACTATGCAAATTAATTTCCACAAGAAAAATGAATTATCATAACAGTCTCACGTATTCTTAGGAAAGTAAGTTAATTATTTAACAGCATGAACAAGTAAATTTATTAAAGCAGTATCCTCAAAAGACGAACTAGATTAGCCTACATCAGCACAATGTGAAAAACGTCTGGCCTTGAATTCAAAAGTGTTATATACTCATTAGATAACCTTGAAGGTTTGACAACAATAGCGTTATTGATTGGTAAAAACTATAAACTGCATCCAATATCCAATATCCAATATCCTGATTACGAGCTAGTATAAACCAGTGATTTCTTTGAGCTCGCTTCTTGATTTTAAGGTAGAGGTTCCAGATCTTCGGTGAACTTATGCGTAGTAAATCCCGCCACTCGACTGCTTTAGCTCTGGTAGACTCCAGGAGGAGTGATGCGAGGATTGGTCAAGATTGTGGTTTGTAGTGTGCAGTATGTTAGGACTCAGCTGCTGCCGTGAATGGAGTTTGACCTAACACCCGTTGGTCATTCGGTATAGTCATAAAAGTGGAGTAATAATAATAATAATGATAATGATAATAATAGGTTGTAGTGTAGATAATATAGGTTGAGATAAGTGAAATAATAAAGAAAGAAAGATAAAGAAAGAAAGATAGAGTAGTCGGTACAGTGGGAGAAGACAGGACGGGTCGTGAAGATTTAGCTTGTATGCTTGTCCATTGACAATGTGGTTTCAAATTTTAAGAGGGTAAGCCATTGAGACACAAACCATGCATTTCTGCATGATTGTCCAGCTTCCGCTTAAAAATCTCTACAGATGGAGCTGTAGTCACGGCCGCCGGTAAAGCGTTCCAGAGACGGCAAACTCGAAGCGAGAAGAAATGTGAACGCACTCGAGTCCTTGGTCTCTGGTGTGCTATCCTTAGCGGGTTACCTCGTGGAAGCCTATAATCACTTAATGGCAGGATGCTCTTGTTAGGATGGGCCTGGTCATTTAGGATCTTATAGACGGTGATGAGGTCTCCCCTGTGACTACGGTAACTAAGTGTGAAAAGACTTAATTTCTTCAGTCTCTCCTCATATGATTTGTTGCGGAGGCCGATCACCCATTTTGTCGCTCGTCTCTGGACACTTTCTAGCATGTTAGTATCCCTTTTGAGTAGCGGAGGAGCAATGATATTATGCACCTCAAGGAGTGGCCTCACGTATGTCGTATACAACGTTAGGAATAGTTCAGGAGTAAGAGCTCCCAGTTGCCTATGCATAAAGTGTAAAGTGCCGTAAGCTTTGGCGACGTCCCTCGTGTAATTTACACTGGTGTCTAGCTTTTCTGTTAAAATAAGGCCTAGATCGCGTTCTGATGGCACACAACTCAAGTTCTGGCCACCAAGGGTGTAATTTGCACTCTGTGACCTGCCGGAATGAAGTTGCACTACTTTGCACTTCTTTAAGTTGAAAGGCATTCCGTTAGCCAGAGCCCAGTCCCCCAGCGTTTGCAGGTCAGCCTGCAATCTGTCGGAGTCTTCCGATGAGTTTATTGCTCTCCAAATCTTTACGTCGTCAGCGTAAAGAAGCGCAGAGCAATTCAGTTGACAGGGCAGGTCATTGATAAAAATCAAAAACATCAACGGCCCTAAGATAGAACCCTGAGGAACCCCTGATGCCGAGGTGTGCCAGGATGATCGGATGTCGTTGCCTTTGCTGCAGAATTCTCTCTCGCCTAAATAATCTTCCAGCCATGCGAGAAGTGCTCCAGAAACACCCGCTTTGCTTATTTTGTGAAGGAGCAGACCATGGTGAACTGTGTCGAATGCTTTCGCAAAGTCGAGAAAGATCACATGGACTGGTACCTTTACATCCCAGGATAGTGTCCAATCGTTCCAAGCTAGTAGAAGATTCGTCACACAGGATCTTCCCTTCCTGAAACCATGCTGTGCTTCATGGAGTAGGTTAGTCCCGTCGAAGTATTTTCTCATGTGGTCGTCAATGAGACTTTCGAATATCTTCGATATCACTGGGAGTAGCGCAACTGGTCTGTAACTGGTCGCGTTCTGCCGGTCACCACCCTTGAAGATAGGGGATAGGATGGCTCGTTTCCATTCACATGGAAGTTTCCCTACATCAAAGGAGTGTTGAAACAGATCACTTAGGGGTTGGCAGAGACTTTCTGAACACTGCTTCAGGACGGATGGTCTTATGTCGTCGCAACCTGCAGACTTTCCCGAAGCCAACTTTCCCAATTTTATGAGTACCATAGCCGGGGTAATTTGAAATGTACCCAGCAGGTTTTCGCACGTTGGTCTTGCATTGTAATCTTGATGTTTTGTGAGGGTAAAATCCTCGTTACTGTTCAGTTGCCTGTGAAAGGCTAGACTGAATGTCTCTGCCATTTCAAGACTAGTAAGAGATTTCCCATGAGAACCTACTATATTGCAAGCTCCCTGGTTGGTCGGTTTTCTTTCAGACATAAACCTGTATAGGCTTTTGGGGTTCACGAGAAGCTTATTGGCGAGGTTTCTCTGAAATGTCCTTCTACCACTCCGGACTCGTATGTTACACCGATTCCTGAGTTCGAGGTACACCTCATGTTCGGGTTGACTCTGCGATACTCGCCACGCAAACCAGGCTTTTCGCTTCGCCTGTAGAAGGCGTTGTGTCCCCCTTTTTAGCCATGAACGTTGCTTTCTAGCTTTAGGTGTGACCAAAGGAACAGTGTCTGAGATCGCCTGGTGAATGATCTCCTTTACCACTCTCCAGTGTTCTTCTACTGTAAGCTCTGTCCATTTTTTAGGCTAATTTGCTTCAGACAAAAATCTTTGCATTTCGGTGTAATTGGCTTTGTTATAACACAGATAGGGCTGTGTTTTGTCCCACTGTAAACGCTCGCGGAGGACTATGTCGAATGTTATGACCGCATGGTCACTACTACCTATGGGAGTCGTGATCTGAACGTTTTCCACTAGTAGCTGGTCACTAGTGAGCACGTAATCCAGTCTAGAAGACTTCCCATCTGGGCCCCATCTAGTATCCATTCTGACATTTTCGGTGAATCCGGCCTCCGTGATGGTATGCAGCAGATTTCGATCAAATCTGTCCTGGGCACATCCCGTCATCAAGTTAAGAGATGGGGCATTGAAGTCTCCAGCTATGACAATTTGATCATAACCCAGGTCATGTGTCGCTGAAATTGCATTCAGCAGTACCTGGTTGTGGTCTGCTCCACATGAAGGTGATCTGTAAATGCTGCCCACTAGATACTTACAGTACCCAACGGTGAAATGGCACCATATGGAGTCAGGGAGCTCAATGAGGGGAGGGTCGATTGCATGGACACATCTGAGCTGTTTGTCGACGTATATGGCGACTCCACCTCCTTCTTTCAGATCCCTATCTCGCCTGACAAGGACCATATCATTTATACTGACTTCGCTGTCTGCCACCGTAGGGGTTAGCCAGGTTTCCGTCAGTATTATGATTTTGGAGTTCAGCTGTGATTGTAGGTATCTAAGTTCAGCTATTTTGCCTCTTAGACCTCTCACATTACTGTACAGGCAACTGGTAGTCAGTCTCACCACGTCCCCGTATTGGGGGGTGGTTGACGTGATGTGGGCTGTCGGTTGAGGAGTTATCCTACGAACTAGTTGGCCGATTCCCCGGGAACCGGCCTGTTGGAGTTTTTTTCTTCTGATTCAATCGGAGCACTTGGATGGCACTGGCTATCATCGTCCGTGCTGCACCGCTGTATTGTGACTAGGGGTTGGGGATGTTCTATGACAACGTTTTGCTCTCTCCTTTGGGTACGAGGCCGGCTCTCGCAGCAGCGAATGTGTCTGCTGACCTTGTCTTTGGTCTCGTACCATCTCTGGAGAGCAGTAGTCAAGTGGTCTCGGGAGCTAAACTTAACAGCTAACAGATGTGGGGTGTTAATTGACATTAGGTGAGTGGGTCGAGGCAGTCTAAAAATAGAGACAGCCCCTGAACTTCCCAGACCCATCTGGGATGCCAACCATCTCCATTGCTGGACATCGTGACAGTGCTTCTCACAAGCGTTCCCAGTTTCCAGTTCAGGAATGCCGTGAACAACCATGGAGGCAGAAGGAATAAGCTCTGGCGACTCCCTCGCCATCTGTCTTTCCTTCCATGGCCTATCTGGCCTAACACGTATATTGCAGGTCCTCCCTATAGAAAGGACTTGGGAAGTCAACAAAACTTTTTCGGCATCTTCGGCAGAGCCTAGTGTTACCCTCAGTGGGGATGGTTTGCCTTGAGGAGCAGCAGTGCCCTTATACAATCTGCACAGTTTTACTGGTTGGATGTCCAGACCCAGTGTGCTACATAAGTTGGACCACTGTTCTTGATCAAACAGGGCCCTGTTTTCCAGCAGACTACTGCTACAGTCTGGTACATTAAAGAGGATAACGCAGTTTGATCGACTGACCGTGGATTTAGGTTCGGTCCTCGCACATTTGTCATCCCCCTTAAGACCGTTTTGTTTCATCTGGTGCAACTGGGTATTATTATGTGTCGCAGTGCTGTGGCCACTTTTACTGGTGGACGGTAAGGGTCTTTTCCCGGCGACAGGTACCCTTGGTGCTTCAACCTCTGTGTCTGGGGCAGTTATGGCAGGAATTGCAAGTATAACCGGTGTGGATTTTGGTATCCCCGATTTACATGCAATTGTGCTGTTTTCTGAGTTGGTGGGAGTGAAACGTTTCACGTTTTTTCCTGATATCTCTATGACATCTGTAGCTTTCGAGGAACTACACGAGGCTGCATTAGGACGGCAACTTGGGCAAATGTACCAGAACCATGGGCATGGGTTCTTACGCATAAAATCGTAATATACCTTTGGTACCCCGGTGTCACATCTACAATGTACCCATTGCTTACAAAAGTTACATTCGAAAGCAGAATCTGCTTGTTCGACAATAGAATTGCAGACCTTGCAATCGTCTGCCTTCTTGGGGAACGTTGTAGTCGTCTTGCGACGTCGTGAACGTTTCTTATTGGCCTTCCTGTTTGTTTCAAGGCCTACTGTGGATATAGGTGTCATACTATTCACCTGTTTGCTTAGTTTGGCTGAAGCTCTGGTGACTACGGTGCATGGTCTCCCATTACTTATCTTGGGATGAGAATCTATAGTCATTTTACTCCTAAAATAATACTGATGATTAA